GGATGAACACTTTAAACGAAGCGCCAAAAGGGTCACCGCACGTGGCCGATCAACGGCATTTCGTTGCATTTGCACCCTTTTAAGTGACTTTCCTTACTTCTGCCGGTTTCTTTCTCATTTGCTTCCACCTGGACCCTCCAAAGTAATTATACTAATTATCCCGTATAGAAAATGACATGACTGACCCTAAGTCTATCATATTACCATAATATTACCCATTTGTCCAAGGTACTTGGACCAGTACGACTGCACACCTCTCCCCCCAGTCGCGCGCCGGCCAAGGCACCAGGTTCCGAGGGCTCCCCGGGACTGCGGTGCGATCCATAACCACATGAGCCGCCCGTGGCGGGTTCAGCACGGCCACGGCTTGCACGGCGGCTGGTCCCCGACCGGCGACGGAGCTCAGAAGGTGCTACGGTTGGGGCGTTCCAACAACGTGAGCTCAGGCAGGCCCCTCCTTGGGGTGTCCATTTGGAAGGAACAATTGGCTAAGGGGTGTCCAATGGGCAACCCTTGTGGTTGCTGGTAATTCACATCTGTCCACGAGTTTAAGATGTCGACGAACAACAACATCGAGGGGTGCTCTTGTTTCTCCACCAAGTCGGGAGCGCATGCCGCCAAAAGGCGCGCGCAGGGTTCCGGGAGCGTTTTTTGCATTTGTAGTATGGCCCTGTGTCCTGCCGGTGTCCTCAATCCCTTTTTGTTCAGCATCCGAACAAAGCATGGAAGCTCCACCTTTTGAGATCGCCCAAGGGGGATCAGTATGGAAAAAAAGCACCAAAAACTGATCCACATGCCTTCTGAAATGGTGCAACTTAACTCTCTCAAATGTCTCCCTGCTCTTCTCAGAGGCTTGCAGGGGCATCCGTCGGGTCAGCCGTTCTCCACGGCCCGGGCCGTTCTCCGCCGCTCCGGTCCGCCTCTGCTCCAAGTCCCGCAACTGCGCGAAGAGCTCGGCGGTGGTCCTGGTCGAGCCAGACGCGGCGGTTCGATTTCAAGGGTCTTCATGGTAGGCGATAAACGATGGATGGCTGTGATAGGTAGATGAAGCCACTGTAGACCTTTGGAAATCTGTGAGCACCACGTGGACACCATGTGGAAACTGGGATCTGCTTGCCATGAATTTGGTGGGCTGGATGCCCCGACAGCTAATATATGAGCACACTTAGACAAATGCTCGCAAGAGCTAAATCAGTTGTGATTTCCCAGTGCGTTAGCCCTGTACGTTGCTGAAAGCTAGACCTTGACTTGCAGAACGGAAAGGTGGCAAAGTCCGCATCAACCGAATGTTGTAACAAAGACGCACTAGCACTTTACGGGAGAATGAGGGTAACAGCGTGGTCAACAGTTCAAACAAAAGACAGTTTCAGGTACGAAACATCCGATTAACAGTGTCTTTGTTAGTCACTGGGGTGGTCGAGTTCCTTTCTCAACAGGAGTCGACACACAAACACACAAAAGGATACAAAAAGTCATGGAAATACGACAGGGAATGGTTTCTCCTCTTTCTCCACTGGTGTGTTCTCCAAGTTTTTTGGGGAGGGTACAATGTAGATGGAGCACAATTTGAGCATATGATTATAAAGGAGTGGGAACCCGATAGCCTCCTGAGGGTATTGGGAAAGTGGCATGATGTATACAAGGAAAGCACCCAGCAAAATCCTAACAAATATGCGCAAAGTCTCTGGGAAATCATCTGAGATCAAAGCATCCTATCAAAATTGTCATATTACCAGCTCTGCCAAAGCCTCCCCTACCGGCAGTTTCAAAGGGGCGCAATATCCACTCACGTAGGGACTAACAAGTACCCATCACTAAGAATCCGGGCCCTCAAATACTTAGGGGGCATCGGGTTTTGAGGATGGAGGGTCTGACCCCTGCCATGGAGGGCCCAAGGATTCGTAGGGTAAGGCAATTTGGAACATGACATAGCCCTTTCGCCTCCAAAAGTCTCCAATCGGCAGACTGGACCTTTTCAGTGACGGTTTGTTTGGAAGGCTCGTCTACCAGGTGCATCGAAGTCCTGTCCATTAGACGCCCCTTAAGCTAAAAACCATTGGACACCCCTTAGGAATCTAAGTGTTTGACAAGTGCTTTTGAGGGATCCTCGTATAGAATCACAACTTTTTAAGGGATACTTGTGAATGGACAGGATTTGGGATTCGGGTCGCTGGAGACGTCGGCCGCCTGCGTGTCAATCCATGTCATTCCGTGTCGGTGGTCAAAACCCGAGGAAACCAAGGGGTGCTCATTGGTCACTCCTTAAGCCTAAGGAGTGTCCAATGGACATACCTTAAGAAAACCCGATGTAAGCCCATACCGTGTCATTCCGTGTCGCCCGATCTCGGAGTTCATGGTTCTACCCTGTCCTGTTACATCAGGATTTTTTTCACGTTGTTCTCTTAAATCGGAACTGTTACTGGGGTTCTCTTACATCGGGAATGTGTTACTGAAAGAGGTGCTCATTGGACGCTCCTTATAACAGGTGAACATCAAAAATCATTGGACACCCTTTTGAATCGTCTGGTATGAATCCTGTTTGGCTCTTACCAGCAAGCGTTGTGGATGATGATGGTAAAGGCATGTAAAGGCTCCTACTGCTATAGGGGGACACACCCTATCGAGCTCTACAAAAGGCAATTGGCTTTGGCCCACCCTATCAAGCTCTACAAAAGGCGATTGGCTTTGGCCGCCCCACAGCTGACTCTTCTCATTGGCTTCCTGGCGCGGTGGTTGCGGTCCGAAACCAAATCGACTCCACATGTTCCCTCCAGCACCTTCAAAGGGGTCACCTGGCTGGAAGCCCCTACACTACCTAGGGATCTCCATTGGTGACCCCTTTGAAGGTCCAGGCTTGAATTCATGGTCATTCATTCGGGTTTAAAGCCGAGACCTGCACCCCCAGGCGCCTGCTGACCGGCCCGTCTGACCGGGTTCATGACTTGGCTTCGCTCAGGGGTTGGTCTTTCCACAAAAATATCACACATATTGCATGATACTTTGCCTGGCTCGGCAGCGATCATTTCACATGGTGGCATGGCGCCCCAAAGTCCCGACGGGATGTCCATCCCTAGTGCCATCCAGGCCCCCAAACCGAAACTGGCCCTGCCAAACGCATCCCAGTTTGCGCAAATCTTGCGCTTCAAGGACAGCGGAAGGCCACCTGGTGGGGTCACCCAACTGGTCCAACAAACATTGGAACCGTTGGCCTGGGGGCAGCAGGACCTTCGGCCACGCCCAGCATCGACGGGTGCGGAGCCAATTTTTTTGGACGCTGGAGAGGGTCTGTGTGGCTCCTTACTAGATGTGTCATCTGTAAGGGTCAATGGGTGAAAAACAACCACTTGGAGGCAGTAGAGCATGGATCCACCACAAGTGGTAATACTTTCCATTTCGAAAACAATCTCGCGTTCTCCCTTGCTAATCTCGCTCTCCCCTGCTGCTGTAGCTCCTCAAAATGCCCTGGCCACCTCAAAAAACATCGAACACGGACATGAATTCCCCTTCCAAAACCTTCTGCACCATTTTACACCTGAGCTCTACTCGGGTCGCCTGGATCGCTGCCAGCTCTTGATGCAAATCCATCTCCTCCGCATCGTGGACCTGCTTCAGCCTTAGGCAGGTACTGGCAGGGACTGGGACTGGTGGTTTGAGGGGTTTGGGATAGGCATATATATGGCATATACCAGGACACCCTGTCAGGTGCGACCGGGGTGGAATAGCCCCGAACATTTCGGTGATATATGGGGTGTCCATTCACGCCTGGTATATCATATTTGCACATTCCATACATGGAGTGTCTGGGAGGGTTGTTTCAGGTTGATGTAGGACTCCGCGATCGTCTGGTTCATGGATCTTACTTGGTTTTCTTTGCTCTGTCTTAAACTCTTTGACTCTCTGGTTCACGGCTCTCACATTCATGGACATTCTGAGGTTGGGACTTGGAAGTCACTCCTTCAAGTCTCAGGAGATATATATTGGGCATCTCTTATCTTTTCAAGGGCGGTTCTGAGTTGTCATACTGACTTTGGCATCCAAATGTCCAGTTGGGCTTCGGCTTTCAGTCAGGGCCCGAATGAACACGTGGACACGCACAAGCCTGGAGTCTTCAGTTGGACTGCCGCACCCATCCAAATCTTGGAGCACGGGTTCATCATGGGACAGTCCCGAGTCGAAACTTTTTGAGCCTCCAAGTGGGTCCAGGCAAATCACTCTAGTAGGCAACCAGTGGTTGCAGAGACTCAAAAGCCGTAGACTCTACACGAAAGCCTGGATAACTGGGATCGACTGGGCCTATCAACCAGCCCAGTCGATCAACCCCCGCGTCCTTCAGACTTCGAACTCCTTCGCTTCCGCAGAAATCCGGCTGGGACGTATGGTTGCGAGAAGAAGCTTTCTTTAGCCAACGGAACCTGATGGGACCTGAGCCGAGACCAACCCGGCAAGGTGCTCCAATCTGAGTCTTGCAGACCAACATATATCGCCTGCCCCACGTGTGTTTCTTCTCCTCCCACGGGGGTCATAACGGCCTTTTACACGTGGCGTGTCCACGGGAACACACCGGCAGGGTCTCTCATTTCGACCGGTTTTCAACGTCCAACCTCCCCAGATCTCGCCAGATCTCACCAATCTCGCACTTTTGCCCGGTCTTGCAGGTGTTTTGCCCGCTGACCACCCGTGTCCTACGGACCGCAGTCGTTCGAGGTGTGGAAAGGCAGAGATCGAACGCTCTGCATTGATCTCAGCGGGTGAACCCGGCCAAGTCCACCAACCTGAAGCATGGAGGTGAGGATTTCTGGTTGGACACCGGTCCCAACCCCCATGCTCAGGTTGGGAAAGTGCACACTGGACATGGGAAGAAGAATCAAGACACATGAGTTGTGTTTCAAACAGTTCCATGACTAAACAGAAACAGACTGTGGGCCAAGCGGTTCGATCTGATCCTTTTCGAGTTCGAGTTCCAAGTGTGGTGAACTATTGGAAAAAAGTAGCTCACATCATGTTCCCGCATGTTCCCATGTCCAATCTGTATTTGCTGCCAACTTCAAGTCTTTCTGCTCAAATCTTCAGGCGCAACTGCTTGGACTCCAGGTTCACCCTGAGCAGCGGACAACGAAGGTAGTGGTTCGCACTATTTCACCATGTCGACATGACAAACATGTGACATCACACTTGAGGAAATGATGTGAAATGCTGGATTTCAGAGACACGGAATCCTGAAACATGGTCTAGTTTTTTAAGTGTGAGTCAAAAGGACGCTGCACCACAGCAACGAAATTGCACCCCTCGAGATGGAGGAAGAATATCATGTACGTGATAAACTTATATCAACCACGATGCAAACTGACTCCATACGTCTTTGCGTTTGGGTGACAGTCTGGAAAAATCGATAAACACTAAGAAGCCTCGATACACATCTTCTGGAGATCATGGAGGTTCTGCTGATGGGACCCATGACACATTAGAAGCAGCGGGGGGGTCATCTGATCTAGACTCTTCAAGGCCGAAGTTCCGAAACGCTGCATCGAAGGTGGATGTCCACCTTTTCAAACGCTTCTTCACCATGAAGATCCACGAAGCATCCCGGTCCCAAATGCTCCCCAAAGACCCATTTGCTGGAGCTGAGAACCGGAAAAGGATTCACCAAGACCATCCAAAGCACCCAAAACATAAGCGATTCGTAGCAAAAGGAAGGAGTCCATGCGGCGACACCATGAGTCCCAACTGACCTGCATGCGGCGACAGCTCACTGTCTCGCTTTTTCGCCGCCGGCTGCAGCTCCACGTGGCACCGGTGGCGCGGCGCAAAGCGCCACGCGGCAGCCCCAACGAACCTCCATGTAGCGAATCGATGACGGACTTCATCAGGAAAACATGTGGGAGACAAATACACATTGGAAAAAAAAACACCTTGGACACCTGAAAACCACGTCGGGTTGTAGAGGAAAATCGTCTTCCAAAGGTCCATTTTCAGGTTCCATGTTAGTTTTCGGGAGTGTATCATCTTTCCCACCTGGTGTTGTTTTTGAGGATGTTGCCACCTCACAAACGTTCCAACAAAAATTCAAAGCCTATCCACTGATGAGCAGGTATAGGATGAGATCCGCCGTTGCGGGAAACCGAAAAAGACGTGCCTTTTTCATCTTTTCCGTTGCAGGATTCCGAGCTTCAAAGTGCGTCCTCCGTTGATTCTTGATGTCTTTTGAAAGCCCTGCGGGTGGTTTCTGGTCCTCTCTTGGCAACGCCGAAGGGATGCTCATTCTTGCATGTTCCAAATCTTTGGGCTGTCACAGGGTCCCACCTACCACAGGCTTAAGCTTCATCCGGTGGGCTGCACAGTTGGAGGTGCGTGACCAATGGATCACTCAATGCTCGGTGGGTTCGGGAAGCCAAAAGGCACACGAACCCCATGTTGGTCTGCCTTTCATCCGAAAGTTGGTTGAAGGGAAAACATCTACAGGAAACCCATTGTTTTTTGGCAAGAATACCCATGGTTCCTTGTAGATGTGTCCCTTTCACATCTTTCACCAATCCATTGACTCCATTCTCTTTCCCGCCGGCCATCACGTTGGGCACGGTCCGTCAGACCGGGGTTTTTGGATGGCGTTCAACGGATCGATCTCCGGATGGCACCCTGGAAGCGATCCGACCGTCCAGGTGTCGAAGCCGCAGGTGCCGGGATGCCAGTCCGCCAGTCGAGCGGGACAAAGCGGGGACGAGCCGCTGAAGCGTTCGTCGTTCGGCTTCGGAGAGTGCCCTCTCTTCCTAAAAGGAAGGTCCGGACTGGAATGTGGACCGAGCAATGGGGTGTGGGACTGGAATGGTTTTTGAGATGTTTTTTCTATAATTGTATGATGGTATTTAGATATCTAATGTTTGAGGGATCAATGTAAGTATTCCAGTCCCATGGATCGTTGGGGGGTTTCCTCCAGGGAGTGCCAACAGTAGACGTGTCCTCCTGTCCTCCAGCCACCGCTCCCTGGCCTCGCAGTTTCATCAAGCGATCTCAAGGCGGCTCAAATACCTCCGGAAGGGCGAGTGAGCGGAAGAGCGGGGACAGGCGCTGTTTCTCAAGTTTAAAGAGTTCAATATAGATAATGTTCCAGGTCTAGGTGCCAACTAGCCGAGGTATTAAATACCTGCACAGAACTAGCCGAGGTATTAAATACTAGCCGAGATATTGAAAATCATCACAAACAAATCCTCTCAGACTCAGACTCATCAGTCACTGCTACAGGTCTTACCGGCGGACTTCCGGCGACGGACCAAACAGCCAACCGTGGCCGCTGGGGATTCCTGCAAAATTCCTGGGGGCGGCCAAGTGAGTCGAACGCAGAAACCACAGGCACCTATGACTGTGAGAGGTCGTTGTTTTTCATGAAGAGAGAGGTCCACATGACGACTGTGAGAGGTCCACATGCTCAAAATGATGGGACGAAACTGGAGAGAGAAACCATTTTGCGGTGGTTGTCTAATGTAGGCGTCAATGGGGTGGCATATTCTGGGTTCAATATGCCTGCTTCCAAAAAGTGTAAACATGTACAAACCCTTCAGCTTGAACCATCCTCGCATTTTGCAGCTGAGAAGCACCTGCAGAAGCTCCTAACCGGTGCACAAAAAAAACACATCAACGAGCAGCGCGTCCTGAGCACCTGTGACTTAGCACCACAGCATGTTGGTTGGAGGGCATTTTCACACACAACACTTGGTTGAAACAAAAGCTCATCACTTTGCCTCCGGATCTAAGGTCTCAGGTCGCTGCGGGTCGCGAAAAAAATATAAGGAAACTAAGGAAATGCACAAGCATACAACAACACGTCCAAGGATTCACGATGGTCCTGAAGGTCTGGAGAAACAACAATACCACAAGCAGGTTGGTACCAAAACACTGTGAATGACAGTATTGCGGTTCTATCCCTTTAGGGGATTTTAGGGGTGCCTTTGCCCATGGTGTAAAGCCAAGTCACCATGGTGTGAATCCAGTTGCTACAGAAATATCTTCGGATCCTTCTCTTCTTTCACTCTGAATATGCTGAATCAACTCCGACGAACTGCCTCTGAGTCTGAGAAACCATAATCAACACACCCCTCTCCTTGGTAATCTCTGGTGGCTCGTACTCCGGCAGGACCTGTCCGTGTCTCTGAAAAACACCAGGGTGAGCAAAGGAGAAATGTGGACAAAGAACCAGTGTGTCTTGGCGAAAACATGCAAAAAACACAGCCACTAACACATCAGTTGGAACGAGCCCTGTGATCTTGGAAGCCTTCACGAAATGATGTGTGAGGTTGCTAAAAGGTTTCGGTTTCCTGGTAGCCAGTTGACCCACGGGGCGCTCCTGGCCAGCAATGTTCATTGATGCACCCACCCCCGAAAAACAAAAAGAACAACCCAGTTGCACCCAAGTTGGCACACTGTTGGCCACAGGTGAAGCGGGAGGAAACCCAACGGCATGGCTATTTTCACACTGACTCAGCCACAGTTTGTACAACTCCTGTACCTGTACGCTTCGGTGAAGTGGGTGTCCGTACGCATCATGGAAGACGACTTTCTATGGTCACAAGTCAAATACCTGGACCTTCAAGGGGTGTCCTGGCTGGACTACCCCACACTACCGCACTAGGCTTCCAGACAGGGCACCCCTTGGAGGGTCCTGGTAGATTCATTTAGTTTTATCTCTCAGCTGAGATTCAATTTTACTATCATTGGACCAGACCTTCCAATGACTCAATGTTCAATATCTGGAGAGTCAAACCCACCACTACCATAGGAGAGTAACATGAGTCATTTGGACTCTCCGGGTATATCACAAATGACAACATAGAACCACCAAACCGCTGTTTTGCGCAGTTCATTCTCTTCAGAGTCCATTGACTGTCTTGGCTTGATGTCAGGTCTGATCTGATAGAAGGAATCTTCCATCACGTGCGGAAACACACACACATTTTCCTACAAAAAAGCTAAATCCCTGTTATAACAGCATGAGTGGCACAGTCTTTTCCATGTCTTAAGATGTTTGAAGTTGGAACGTTGAGCATGGGCATTCACTTGTAGCCCTTTGTTTGCACAAGGAAAACAGAAGCGTTTTGTGCGGCGCAGGTTATGAGCCCAAGAGTACGCTGAGTGCTTTTGGGTTTTAGGTGGGACCCGTCGCCATGAGCGAGGAAGCGGCTTCTGAAAAGACGCCGGAGTCCAATGGTCTAAAGGCCATAGAAGATGCTGGTCCCAAAGACGGCCTGATGAGGCCTTGTGGCCCGCCAGTGGTTTTGGGCCCCAATACGTACAATCCTTTCTGGTCTGAGCGAATGCAGGAGGAAGCTGTACTTCGGGCCCTGAGGCCTGCTGCCATCCGAGGGGACGGAGCTGCTGCCTGATCCAGGTTCCTCGCCACCGAAAGAAGGAGCCGAAGCCTTTCGCATGTTTCTTATGGCCCCTCCCTTGTGCACGGACCATGTTGGTGGTACCCTGGAAAAATTTTTGTTATTATTCCAGGGACATTCACATGCATGTGTGTAAATTATCCCTGATGTACCACAGACCGTGGAATAATTAATGAAAGATATACAGCTCATATGATTGAAAATGCTTAGAATCTGCACGTGCTGAGGCCTCGACCTTTTTCCCCTAAAGATCCATGCAAGGGTCTGTTTTAGATATTGTATTCGGCAGTCGGTGCCAAATGAAAGGGCTCTGAGGACACTGCCATACGACAAGAAAGATTTCATGGAGGATCATGGAAAACAACTGGAGGATGGCTGTCATTGGGACAGGTCTGGTTGTGATCTTTGTTCCTCGCAGGACCTCAAAGCCCAAGATCCCCGAAACATACATTTGTTGTACATTAGGTTCACCTGGACCCAATCCACAGGTGAGAAAAAGTCAGACACAATGAGAAAGGACAATTTGAGATCATTGAGAACCCAAAACCGTGAAATCTTCACATTAAACATTAGGAAACCATTCACTTCGGGTAGGTTTCAAGCAGCCATCCAGGAAACCTTGAGAAACCTTGAAGCCATTCACTTCTCGATCACTTTCTCGATCTTCAATGGCTCAACTGTTGACCGGCAGATTTCAAGCAGCCATCGAGGAAACCTTGCGGGATCATCGTGAGGAGATGGTGTGATCCCCTGCAGCTCGTGCAATACGTGATGCCCAAACCTCAGATAAGAATATATAAGAAAATAAATCTGTCACCAAAGACAACTGAAGTACACTGGAATAATTAAGAACCAATCCTAGCCTGATATTATCTGGCAGATTCCTACTGCTTGGGGGCCCTGGAATAAGACACATGTTCATCTTCTATGATTCCCCATGGAGGGAAAACATACTTATAAATGTCATGAAATGTCTGTGAGGAACGGCAAGGCTTGGACCTCCTTGCTCATCTTATTACAGTGATCGCTGCCTTTGGAGAATTTCTGAATGAAGTACTGCATGATCCTGGCCTCAAGGCTACCATACTCCACAGACTCCTTCTTGTTGAAGCGAATCACGCCCTTCTTGTCAACCAACGGGTGGAACATCGTTTGATAGTCCTGGGCCATGTTTTTCAGGTACTTGTGAACGTTGGCATGACCATTGGTGTTTTTGTTGAAGTCTGCTGCTGTAAAGTATAACGTTGCAGGAACATCCTTTTTCTCAGAAGTGAAGGCAACTGGCTCTTGTTGCGCCCGTTTCCAGGCACGAAGAGCGGGCTTTTTGATCAAGAACGTTTGGTAGTATTTCGTTACCCCGGCATCTTCCCAGGCTGAGGGAGGTACTTCGAAAAGCACGGCGCTGCTATGAGGGTCAAAGAGAAACGCAGGCGACACACTGGAGAGCACAAAGAAGTGGTCATCTTCCTGAGGCTTCACAGGCATGAGCAGCCTTACCCGGATCTTTGTTGCAAAGCTTGCATTTAGCTTGTGCATTGGCCAGACATACTGGGCCTTTCCCTTGCCTCCTCGCCACACAGCATCGACTACCCCGAAGCGTAGGGCCCCAGTAACTCCCGGTGCCAGGAATGGTTGAACAACAAGAACCTGAAAATCTCTCACCTGCTGTTCATTGTCATCCTTTGCATCCTTGAAGAAAGAACAAGGCCGGAAGTTCACTGGCTTCATAGCGCCCCGCCCCCAGGTTTCCACGTTGTCATCTTTCAACTTCTCGACAATCCTCTCCGTATATTGTTGCCACAAGCCATGCCTCGTCTGTCGCGAAGCGCAACAGTGGAATTCTGCACGAGCCTTGCAAATCATGTGCTCAACGTCGTTGTTTCTTCTGACGCACTTGGCGCCACGAAGGGCTGCAGGAGTCAAGATTCCCTCAGCCAGCCTCACTGTCGCTCCAAAGATTGCCATAGATGGACACATCTTGCGAATTCTTCTCAGCATGTCGACCTCGCCATCCTCCTTGCCAGGCTTGAAGCTCAGCAGGCCAGCATTGAACAAGATGTCATGGAGACCATAGACTTTGTGTTCTTCGATGACTTGCTTCTTGCTTTCCTGCACATACTCTGTTTCGCTGTCGGTTTGTGTGTCTGGCTGAGATGTCCTGACCATTTCGGGATCAAGGCTCGCACCATCGACAGAGAGTTTGGCAATCTCTTCCTGCAAAGCCAAATCATTCTCTGTAGACGCAACCGCTTGAATGAAGAGGGCATCCTGAGGATCACCTTCCACTGCCTCATCCTGGCTGGAATTGGATGCAGATCTCTTTCAAACACATTAAAAAAAAAACTCACTCTATTGACTGTATGTGGTTGTTTGTATACCTATTCCTGACCAAATCGCGGCTGTAGTTTTCGGCACCAGTCCTCATGATCACAGAAATGATCGTCTTCTTCTGCCTCTACCAGAGCTGCGTCAGAATCATCACCGGATTGCGACAGGAAGCAGTCGTGGCCATGTTCAGCCCACCACTCACAAAGCTCTTCACGGAGGTTCTCCGGGTGAACCCTGGTTTGGCAAGCTGCAGCAAAGGTGCAAGCAAGAGACAAGCTCTTTTCAGCCACGGAGGTCAAATCAAAGGATTCACTTGCCAATGTTCTTGTAGATGATGCCTCGATTTTATTATTCCAGGGAAGTAAACTGGTGAATTAGTGTTAAATACAAATGTTTCATTATGAGAAGCTCAGGCAAACATGCCATACCTCGGTTCATTGATCATATTATGGAAATTATTCCTGGGTGTTGAACCAGGTTGCATGCTGAGAACAAAATGCAAAATATACATATATATATATGCCTATTGTCAATACAGCAGAACAAAAATAGAATCATCTCGTAAATTATTCCATAGTTCTTGACCTTGTCAAAAAATGCTGAATAATTATCCAAAATACTGTCTTGCCATAGGCGCCGGACATGGAGTCCATCAGGTGAAGTAGATGAGCGGCCTGGATGCTGTTTGCAGTTGTTAGTGATCCTGCAAGGCGTTTGCAAGTCTTGACTCGCCCAAACCACCTCTCTATTGAATCCTCCATGCAAAGGGATGGCTCGTAGCACGCCGACGCAGGCCAGGAATGGAACCGAAGAATGGCATGTGCTAGCATACGGTAGAGGTTGCGGGTCGTGACCTTGGCCATAAAGGCTTGGTCCCACGCATTGCCTCGGCGTTTGTGTGCCCACATCACTAGCAGGACCACAAGGTAGAAGGCACAGATGGAATTTTCAATCAGCTGATTGATTGTAAAGGCTTGGCTTGCTGTCCACGAAGACATTGAAAGAGCTGTGAGAAACCTGTGTTCATCCGGCTGAACTAGGGTCACAGATCTCCCCACCAGTGAACTACAGTTGGCTGGATATGGTTGGATCCAGTTCCAGCTGTTTCTTTTGACTAACCGTGTGTGCCTATGGAATATGAGACATTGAAAAAGAATAACAAAAAAATCGTACATGAAACAAATCGAAAACAAATTGCTGGAATCATGAAAGAGCAGCTGAAACAGGTTGAGCCCAACATCATCAAAGCGAGGTTCCAAGACATACCGTGGGTTGAACAACCTGGCAGCCTCCAAATCATTGTGCACATCTCTGCCAACGATGCTCTGCAGTGGGCAACCGGCCAAAGTCAGCGGGTTGCAACTCACAGGCAACCCAAACCTGGATCTCATATTCGAAAGCAAAAAAAGGACAACCTAAGAAC